GAGTGCCCTAACCACCTGGTCTTTTCGATTGGAATGAGCAACAGTGATGTAGGTAGCGCATGTGCTCTGAGAATTATAGCACTGTTGAATTATATATATATAATTCTATGTTTTCTCTGTCTATAACAGAATTTCACTGATTGACGTATTTCAACAGAGTTACAAATATCTGAGAATTTCTGAAAGCTATACTTTACTTTCACACTCGTTAATTTTATTTTGTTTTATATCAAATAAATAGTGTTTTCATTGTTTCCAATTTTTTTATGCTAAACTCAGTAAAAACACAAAAACTCAGCTTAACTTCTTAATCCTTTGCGAATGTGTGGGGATCTAAATGGACATTCCACAACCTTCAACAGAGTGTCATTCGTAATTGTGTTATGAATTTGATACAAGGGTTATCAACTATTCATTTGACCCTACATTAAATATTCAGTGATATATTGTGGTACAGGAGAGTAAACACCGGATACAATATATAGGGATACTGAAAAACTGTAAATATGCATTTTGGAGGATCTATATGTTATGCAAATGTAATTTGCAAACTATACAATGGACAAAAGTGTTTTTGCTCTTTACATGAACAACAACTTGCACTTCGACTCAGTCTGACTTCTCAGAGTCTGACTCAGATTGTCTTCATCCATTCACAGACATTACTTGAGTACCAATATTTGTTATAACGTATCTGTTTTGTTTTTTTTTGTGTGTGTGTACAACAGACTTGTATTTTTACTGAAAGCTTACAATATTTTGTGAAGTTGTACGTAGTAGTTTGGGAATTATGGTCAATATTACTTTCACAATATGGGCTTAGTCCTGTCAGACTTCTCATTATATGAGGGCTCTACTGAATCTGTCGAGGAAAACAGTTTATCTGAAAGTGCTACAGGGTATGGTAAAGGGAAGAAGTTTTGGTGCCAGGATCAGGATTTCTATTTGCAGATATTTCAGTTTTCTTTCCAAGAATGCATTCTCCTGTGCTCTTCTTAATTCTTTTGCTATTAAGCTTTAAAAATCATTATTTTTGATAAAATGTCAATTAAGAAGAGTCAAAGGATTGATAAGTAGGAAGAAAAGTTAGTCACTGAATATTGTTGGCTGTCAGAAAGAGTGGTTGAGAATTCCTTTCCTGGATGTTTGTCTTTTGCTGATGTTGAAAATGACTGATTTCCTTCTCGTTGTAGCCACAGACTAGGGAAGAACTGTCAGAATCTGGTGTACACAGAACTGCCAAGTGAGTTCTCCCTATGAGTATCATTCTTCGCATATTGGAAGTCTGGAAACCAGAGGATCACCATGATGTAATCTGGCAATTCTGAGACCAAATAGGATCCCAAAATATTTGTTGATCAGGATAACCTAACCCCAGCTCTGATTCATGCCACCAAAGACCAACTGAGAGAGAAAAGAGATGGCTGTGGTGGATAGCATTCACTGTTTGGACTGCTTTGCTAGCAGATGAGGTAGCAGGTATCTAATGGTAAAGATGGTAGACACGAGTTTCTCTATGGTGGGAAGTGTGTTGTTAGGGCAACCATTAATTATGGAGAGACCTGGGGCTGTGAAGAGCCCATGAACAAGCTGTCTGTATCAACTCATATGTTTACCACTAGGGACAGTGGCCTAGCACATGCTTATGTGTTAGGGCTCTTGAGTATACCCACTACATCATATCTCCAATGATCCTGATGCTTCAATATGGTATTGGTCAAAGCTCATGGAAGAAATGTTAATGCTACCTCAGTGATCCCTGTGAGTGATTATAAAAACATTTCTCTCCTGACATTTAAGGGTGCAGCTAAAGTGGAATTGGACTGTGTCTTAAAGTATTTCATACAGGTCACTAGTGGTCGGTTACACAATTAATGTTCCAGGAACTCTAAAAAGAGCAACTGAAAAACCCAGACCTAACTAAGATGCCACTTTATCATTCATCAAGGTAAAGTACGGCCATTGCATATTGAGAACATTAGTATGGACTTATATAACCTGTTATGAATACAGGAAGGTGTGTTATACCATTATTATAAACAACAAAATTAGGTTCTCAAGTTATGATGCAGCTAGTGGTCCCCAGAACTATTAGACAGAAAATACCCTAGACTTTGCATAACGCAAGGACTGGAAGCCACCAAGATATTGCACATAGCTGTGCTGATGTGTGATGGCAGTTCTACTGACTGAATTTGATTCGAAACATGGAACATTGTGTAAACATTGTGTGGTGTGCACACCAAAGAGGAACACCTGCACAAACAGGCCAAATTGTAGCAGAGAATTCTTAGTTCTCCATTGCAGAAAATAGCCCTGAATGTTACTGGTTCTCTCCCAGAATCTGAACCAGATAAACTGTATGTACTGGTCTTTAGAAAATACGTCACTAAATGGGCCAAGCCTTATCAGTTGGTTGATACATCAGCAGACTCTGTCACTTTTGTGTTGGAAAAGCACTGGATAGCATGACTGTGGTACACCAAAAGATATTCACACGGATCAGGAAACTAATTTCAATAAACGGGCTTTCTCTGAGTTATTCAAAGTGATGGGTGTGATGAAATCATGCACTTCATACAAGCCATAGTGTGATGGTTTAGCAGAATGAATAATACAAGCTACAAAGTGGATAATTATATAGTTCAGTAATAAGAACTGACTGGGAAGAACACTCTCTGTAGGTAATGATGGAATATTGCACAACCGAACAGAGATAAACTAGTTGTTTGTCATAAATGCTCATATTTGGTTGAAAAATGTAGCTCCCTGTGGATGTGATGTATGGTTTGCCTTCAAGGATATACATGCAACAGTATCCACAAGAATATAACGAGTGGGTTAATGTTTAGGTATGAGTTCGCATACTGACAACTAGGAAAGTATCATATGGCAGAAGAGATACAATGATAAATCAGCTAAAGAACGAATGTTCCATGATAGAGATTAGACTAGTTTTGTTATGTTCCAGTGCCACTGAAGCAACTTATCTCGTCCTCTGACAACTTGTTTCATCAAATTTTGAGTTATAGCAGTAACGTAGTACACATAAGCACATTCCCAGTTTACCCCTGAAGAAGAAAGGTCCACCTTTCGAAAGCGCTCGGTTTATAGGTTTTTACTTATTTCAATCAAGACTTCTTGAACCTACATGTTTTTCTAACATCACGAATAAGCACATTGAATATGTTGACAAGTTAATCTCATATATTACTGACAAATCTCTCATGCACTGGCTAGACTATGAATCAGAGGTTGAGACAGATGAGCCAGAGGATAGTAAGAGTACTGTTTTGTATCGTTATCACACAGCTGTTGAAAAAGAAGATGCTGAGTATACTTCTCTGTCTGTACAAGATGAGTCAGATGAGGAAATTCCTGAAGAGGAGACACGCGTTAGTTCTAATGGTCGACCAAGATGACGGCCTCTTGACTGAAATGGGTGGTATTATCTGTCAGATCAGCAGTTGGGACAGTTATTTAATTGTAAGGCCCATGACTAAAAGAAAGTGGCATTCTAGCTTTCTGAGCTATCAAGTGGTGTTTCATGTGGAAAGATAGGAGTAACATTGTGTTATCACCTCTTGATTACTGTGAATCTAGTGTGATGTATTTATCACTATATTAATGGGACCAAAGGGGTGGTGTCACTCTTACTTTTCTAGGTTTCAAACAGAGTTTCAATATGAAATATCTACAGGTTATTAGATGACATCTGCTCGATTATTATACAGTTAGGACGGCTGGTGTTAGCAGATGCAATGTATAGAATATCATCAGTCTATGTGACTGAGAATAACTGTTAAGTGTTCTAACCCTTACTTTCAAAGCTGTTGTGTGATTTGCTAGCGGAAGATTATTGTCTGACATTCTACAAAAAATGCTCACACTATCAAGCTGAGTAGTAGTAGTGCAATTTCTGCAGAGCTGACTATGTTGTACTTGCTAGATACATTCAGTTTACCTAAATGTGTGTAATGGGGTGTGTTCTTTCTCAGCACATAAGTTGAATTAGGCGTTTGTTAATCTAAGTGGAAAATTCCTTATTCTCTGGGTTTTACCTGTATTTATTATGCTGTGATGCTAACTGTAATAAGTAGATTGACTTGTGAATGGTGATAATTCATCTGCTGTTATTGATGGCCACATAGGTCAGTAAATATATTTTACTGGTGAATATTGTGTTTAACCTATTTGATCTGGTTGTGTGTGCTGATATATACTGTAGTGAAATCATAAATATTAATCCCGACTAGAAGATTTTAGCGAAAAATTCTTGTTCAATTGAATTCTTCCAGTTATTTTTCATTTCTTGATGCCAAGATAACAAGTTGATTTTATTGCCCCATGATGGCAACATGTTGCACTACCATAGCTACTGACACATAGCTAGCAATGGTAATTTTATGTCATTCTAGTGTATCATGTTCAGTTTGTTTTAAGGTTGTAAAGTTTCTAAACTTATGTTCCCTGTTCTATTTCGTTGTACCATTGTATAACTATATTACAGGAGCGAGAGTAAGTTTCTTCACCAATGCGCGAGTATATTTAATTCAGTTTTAAATTAGGGACTGTCGGAGGGAAAAGAGGAGAGAGAATACATAGTATACACATATACTAAGTGTCTTGTACATCCTTTATTTAATAGACTGAACTCTTAACGTTCACCTAGAATATTTTCCCACTTTTTGTGAATACATGCGTATGGGTATTTAAAAGCAAAACATTGGTCCAGGATTGTGACTTAGTTCTTTTATTCTAGTTATCTATTGTTCTGGGTCAATCCCCCATGAGATTATGTGCATTTTCTCATGGGAAAGGCTATTGTGAAGTAGAACACAGTAGACAAAAATAAACATCGATCTTTTCCTTCTGGCAGATCAAGTGATGCCTTTAGGTGGATTTACCCTCCATTATTTTTCGTCTGGAATGACCAACATGATGCAGATAACCCACACAACCTGAGAAGAACATCATTGTAGAATTTTTGTATAATTTTTCAATCTAGGACAGATTCTTACTGACTTTGAACAGACTTAAGGAGATATTTTCAGATTTTTGAGAGCTGAAGTAAAGTTGTTGTCTTCATGGTTTTGATTATGTTTTATTTTGAATAACAATTGTTTCCCCTGTGATTTACATTGCGCGCGGTCTTTTTCTATACTCTAAACTCAATCAAAAACAAGAAAACTCGGTTCAATACGTAATACATTTTCTGTCGAACCTCTTTTTTGTTTGCTAGGTCTGCCGAACCTCTCGTGGAAAACAGTTCATCTGGAAGTAGCAAATGATTAACCAACATTTCAAATGTATCTTTGTCTAAAATAAGGCTCACTGTGATTCTGACATATACAAGTGTTCTTGTATTTAGATTATTCAAAGCATAGATAATAAAAAGTCATGGTTACAGTTGTCATAACGCATCAAAATAAAGCTGATAAGAGATTTCAATAACGCCATGCTGAACTAGCTTGATGCAGGTTTCCACTAAAAAGGGTGAATAATAGAACTTCGCCTGTACTTCTTCTAATATATAGTCACGTTTTACAAATCAAAATGTTTGAAATTTATCATTTTTAATGTGTCATGTTATTTCATAGATGTTGAAAATCCTTTGAACTGATAAATGAACATTTTAAAACAATTTCATACTTCATTAATTTGATATTTTAATCGCTTAATTAATAAAGTTCTTTTGATGCGAAGACTTCTTTCATTGTTACTTCTTGCCATAATCATTCCTTACTTCTACTTTGTAATACACATGACGTGCTCTTTTTATAGATGATTCGTTGTCACTGAATAGAATACATGTTCTTGCACTTGAGTATGTAGCCATCTATATACAAAATAGGTGAGAAAATTCATCAACAACATTAGATATTTTTTGAACAGAAATCTTATCTTTAAACAAAATTGCAATCAACATTCAGGTTTTAAAACAATTCCAAGATAATTTTAGGATCAGATTACCATCTTTTCGTTCAGTGCAGCACCATCTTAATGGGAAAACGTATGCAAATGTGGAAGGTGTTAAAGAGGACATTGGCATATTGTTTGCTTCAAAGCCAAGTAATGTCTTTAATCAGGACATTAACAACCTGATTATAAGATGGAAAAGCATAATCGATAAGAATGGAGACTATTTCATTTAATATTTTTTTTCTTTTGATATATAAGTTGTTTGGGTTTTTTTTATCGAAAAGGAGCGACATTAATTTATTGACGACCTAATATATATATATATACAAGCAAAAGTACCCGTCCCCAGTGATGGGAAAAGTTTAAGTTAAGCTAATGATTTAAATTATTTCATTGAATTTAAAAAGATTAATTGTGTTGCACTCTTGGTTTCACTCAAAGCCAAAGATGTGAGATACTTATACCGCCCATTGCAAAACGTAATTTTTCAGCATTTCAATCATGCTAAGAACCTATCAACAATAGTATACCGTAAAACTACATTTTTATACTTTAAGTTGCGTCACATTTTGAAATTTGAATTATATTGTGCTTATTTCCTAACAATTTAGTGTAGAATATCCTGCTTGCGAGATAAAATTTAGCATCAACATTATTCATGCCTGTTCTCCCATCATTTCAAAAGTAAATGTTGAGCTTTGCCTGCATGCACAGCTTTTCAAACACAGCAAGGGAAGTGGCCACTATAAACAGGAGACAAGTGAATGCTCGGACAGACACCATGGTTCACAAAGTATACACGATATATATGATAATATGTAGCATTGAAATACATATATGACAAAAAAGAATCAACCAGACAGAAAAAATAACTATCAAACAACATATAAATGAATATGAACGAATTTGACCTGAATGTTAACATGTTGACATATGAAGTCAAGTGAGAATATTAACCCGTGAGGCATTATTTTAGTATATTCTCTCCATATTTTCATCAATGCTGGTAAGAGAATGGTTTTCATTTTCGATGCTGACACGTTTGGCAGGTAGTGAATGTTTGTTGAAGGGATAAGAGTAATAGGAAAAATCCCACTACTTTTGAGGGAAAACTTTATTTGACCTAATGTCTTCGCTAACAGTAGTGAATAATATTTTTGATTAGATTGAACTGCAGTATTATCAAGCAGGTTAAATTATATAATGTATATAATGTTATGTATTCTTATATTTGAACAGACAATTGAAAGATTATTATGAGAGATAAACTTCTACTTCTTTTCTGATAGATCTTTCCAATAAAGGCACCATAAAACATATTTGTTTTGACTTTGGTTGCTTTTGTGATTATTAAATCAATATTGCTTCACTATGTTACAGAGTGTTCAGCCTTTTTCCTCGTTTTTACTTCATTCGAGATTAAAGAATTCAAGTTTATTCTGAACTTCCTGTTATTCTGTGGAACTAACCTGATTACTTAAGAGAAATCGGTGCACCTACGAATGTTATATTTTGCGGAGAAACTATTTCATAAAGGAGTAAATTAGGTAGGTCAACTATATAACAGGAAATTCTACTTTGGTATATGGTATCTTTGATCTGGTTTGGTTTGTTTTGAATTTCGCGCAAAGCTAAACGAGGGCTATCTGCGCTAGCCGTCCATAATTTAGCAGTGTAAGACTAGAGGGAAAGCAGCTAGTCATCACCACTCACCGCCAACTCTTGGGCTACTCGTTTACCAACGAATAGTGGGATTAACCGTTACAATATAACGCTCCCACGGCTGAAAGGGTGAGCATGTTTGGTGTGATGGGGATTCAAACCCGCGACCCACAGATTGCGAGTCGAGTACCCTAAACACCCGGCCATGCTGGGCCATGGAGGAAAGCACAAAAGTATAACAATAATTCTGCTTAACAATAAGAACTCGTACTAGGTTTCAGAAGTTTATAAATAATATGTATTGTATATATATATATTATATGGTATTTTTAAAGTTTAAACAATCAATAAAATAATATGTATACACACACACACACATATATATATATATATATACATTGTATATATCTTAAGATTTTTTTTTTCACAATGATTTATTCCACCTAATGGCGGGTCTGGGGACATATTACATTGGTCAAAACTCGTACCGTCAACCAATCATATTACGATTTTTATCGCGCAGCTGCAATGTTGGGTGAATGTTGGACGCCATTTTGGAATTATACAGAACAAGAGCTGAGAAACAAATGTGGAATTTTTAAAAAAGAATATACTTGAAAACTACAAACTTTCAAGCAAGCAGGCATATATATAAGCATGGAGGTAGTCAGGGCTTTTAATAATGAGGTATGTAACAGTTTAATCATTGTAAACATCCAAAGTGCCATAACTTTCTATGACGGCGTGAGAAGAAGCGAATTACTACCACTACTGTAATGGTACTAACGTAACTAGTATTAGCGGCTAAACCTAACGCTAACAACAACACAAAGATTTTGAATCTGCAATGGACAAATTAAGAGGAAGGTGTAAAAAAATATCTGCAGTTAACATGATTTTTATAATGACACAGTTATACTTATAGTATGCTAACTCTCTTTAATAGTAAGTGGTTGCTTTAAACGTTAGCTGTTCAGAGTGAAATACAACAGTAATACTACTATATTAGTTTAACTTTGTAAAGTTTGTTAGTTTGTATTGTAACTAATGTGAAAAGCTTTACGTACGAGAGAGTTGTTGCATATGATGATATATTTTAATATTCTAGAAAATAATTCGGGGAAAGAGTAACATATAGCTTTTTACGTCATCACTTCATATTTTTTATCAATACAAGTTACAACAGTAGGTGAGGTGAAGAAGGATTTTTAAGTTATATAAATAATATTTCAAACTAAGTATATACATTGTATATACATTTATATTTTTGTTTTCATGTAAACTTGAATTTAGGTATGTTTATCTTAAGTTATAATATTAAAAATTTTAATAAACAAGGACAAACACCAATTTAGTTACACTAAATTAAATTCAAAGTATAACACCACTGAGTTACTATCTTGACAACATAAATAATAAATATTGAAAGCTAATACCAGCAATCATATATAGGAGATTGAATGTATATAAATTTACAAATTTCTTACTAAAGTAATAATACAGTTCATTAGGAATTTTGTCAAATTTTTTGGTAGCTTTTAACATAAACTGCTTCAGGGGGCATATTGAAAATAAGGTTATAGTGTGTGTAGAAACTAGACATTTTTCTGTAAAATAACTTGCATTATGTGAATTTATACTGAGAAATCACTGAATATCATAAATTAGATAAATCACACACACAGAAAAAGTCCACATATAACTTTAGCACTTTGTATAGGTAGACTTTCCTTCTTCATGGATGGACTGGGAATTAGTAGAAAGTGTAGAGTGTAAAGCTTGAATTAACTTCAGTGATGGTATTTGTATCTATGTGTTAGTTCACCTTGACAAAACAGTGATGTTTAGATTGGCTTTCATTAGGAATAATGTCGGTTTAAAGGATTTCTGATGTAAGAAAAGACAGGAATAGGGTGGAAAGTGGTGTGAGAAATAAATACTTAGCAAAAGGGGACACAGTTAGATAAGTGACTTGAATGGGAAATTTTCTAAAGTAATATGTAGAGTAATTAAGTAAATATAATCAGCTCTAAATATTGAAAGATGTAATAGTGTGAATAAAGATTTTTATTTCATTTGTATTAATTTTTTCTAAACTTTATTTCTTATACTATTTCTTTACAATATTCTGTCTGTAGCTTATTTTAGTTATCCATTAATTTTGAAATTTTCTTTGTATAAATAATTTTTCTAATTCTGTGCCTCATTCCTAATTCTTTTTTATTTTTACACTTTCATTTTTCACATATATTTGTGCCTTTTCTTTTTCTGGAAATGAGTTGCACATCTTTTCTATTGAAAAGTAACTCACACTTACCTTTACTGTTGTGTTAATCTGCTGTACTAGAATGGACACCCTTTGTTTAAAGGAAAATTCAATAACTATCACACTTTACAATTTCCAGTCATTCCAAGTATACCCCTAGAGAAGTAAGGTCTACTTTCCAAAAGCTGTCTGGTTATCTAGTTTTTTTATTATAATATTCAGGTTTCAGAATTGGTAGCTGTGGCTGGCAAAAAACTAGTGAATTCTAGCATTTAACCAATGACCATCAAGCAGCATTGGCATTTTTCTGGCAGTTCATAATACAAGCATGATTATGAACATTGAAACTAACTGTAAATTATGGTCAAGATTATTAAAAAAAAGATAGAAGGAACAAATAGCTGTAAACACCATTTATATCTAAAACCACTACTTGTTTCATCATTCTTGAACATCTTAAGTTTTTTTAACATCATAGCTGGCAATTTTTTGAACAACTTTTACAAATTTAGTAAAATAATTAGCCAAAGATAAAGACAACTTGTGTCAATATGTAGTGTAAGTATATCTAGTAATTTAACAGTTTTCTACATGAATTGAAATTTGCATTTTGATATCTGTATAAGTAATAAGTTTAATTGTTTCTGTTTGGAATTATGATTAGAAGCTTTACAGGGTTTTACAGGTCACAAAAATCCAGGAAAGTCATGGAGTATTGTAAACATATTTTAAAGTACTGGCAGTCCTGGAAAATGAATGGATTTTTGTCAGAAGACATAGAAAATTAAATGAAACCTCATTGTCCCCATATTCTCCATTTATATTGATGACAAGCTTTGTCACTGTGTTTAACTCGGTGAATAATGAATGACTTGTAAAATGAAAAATAAGCTGACTTGGCAGTAGTGCTTCGAAACAGGCTTTGAACTACGTCAGGGGACAAAATATCCAGGTTCACATCGCAATTTGCAAATTAAGACAACCCCAATTGATATTCACTTTCCTCTTTGCTTAGCATAAGTGAAAATGCCATAACATTTCAGTTTCATATATCAAAACTCATGGTCATTTCTTGGATATTCCCACCAAATAGCATATGCAGTATTTTCACACTTTGCCATGCACATATTGAATACACATACATTTTGTAGTAGTCTATATATGTGTAGTACATGCACTGCACATTTAGCATTGAGTTGGTTTTGAACTCTCTCTATACGGGCTCGGTCTAAAGGACCAACCATGTGATCATTTTTACTTGTTTATAGTTTTAGTACTATAACTTTTAATACAGTATGTGCATCTTCACAATATTTAGCAGACTTTTAGTAAACATTATAAGTCATTTTAACACAAAAAATCAGCTTTTTAATAAAGTATTTTTACTGAAGATTTGTTTGCAAACATCAAATCTTTTTTTGACAAGTCTGAGTGTAAAATAATTTTCATTTTAAGATCAAAAATATTTTTTGTTCAGCTCAAATGTCATTTGTGTAATCTCTAAAACCTCCTAAATGCAATTCAAATGTTTGTTTTCAGTAAAACTTTATATTTTATCTGTTATTTTCTCTATGCTAACTGTATACAAGGTTGGCCAATTTGACTGACATTATAACCACCAAAAAAATTAAAATCTAAATTAACCTTTTTTTCTTTCTAGAATGACTTTAAATGGTAACATGAGACTACATTTGTTTATTCTGTGTAGCTTTAAACTCATAACAGAGTACATTTATTTATACTTAAATTTTATTGTTTTATTGCCCTTTGAACCATGTCTAATTACTAGTACTATTCATGCCATTATAATATAAGTTGTAAATCACTAGAGGAATGTGGACTCACTATTGAAGTACATTACCCACAAGCTGCTCCTGTGTGTACCTCGTGACAAATTTTTTATTATATTATTATTATTTTACCTATAATAAATAAAGAATACACACAAAAATCAAGAAATAAAGGACTTACCTGGGCCTTTTTTCTTTTTTTGCTGTTGGCTACATAACACTTAACCCTACTTTTTTATACACTAATGGTAGTAGTGCACTAAATAATTTTTATGTAATTAAATAATGCACCAAAGAACAGAATAATAACATGCAAAAAAGCAGACAATTTTTCTGATTATGCGACAAGAACTGTTACAAATTCATCCAAGATAATCGATACATTTCCTGTGGGAACGAAACTTGTACTGAAAGAAAAATTAAAATTTTTCTATGTAGAAAACAGTGTAATATAATATATCATTTGACATATGAAAACCATAGCATTCTATTGGTTAAAAAAATATATAGTATTAAACTTAAGAGAGAACTATTGACAAATCCTGAAAGAAAGGATGTGACAGTTGGGTGTGGCAAGAGGGGTCTGATTTTCTATTTGGTGGCTCTGTAACCAAACAAAATTGAAGACTGAAAATTATGCTTTATCTGAGTGATGATGATATTATAGTAAGTCATTTGTATTAAATTTTGTACTTCTTGGAGTTGTGTTAAATAAATTAGAGAAGAGGGAATGCCTTGAGAAGAAACGTCACATTTCTCACACTAGTGGAAATTCAGGATCAGTTTTTCTTAATATTTCCTTATAAAATTAAGAACTTAAAACTGATATACTATTAAAATATAGATTATTAGCTACAATTTTATGCTATACTAATTGGTATAACATGAACAAACAAAGAGTAGTTTAATTAAATTTTGAAAGTAACTCACTAAAAGCTTCATGATATGCAAAATAAAGAGGGGTAATTACTGCTGAAAAGTCACTAAACCTTTTCTTCTTCAACAAGACAAGGAGACCACCTTGTGAAAAGAGTGATGAGGTCTCACCAAAATAAATAAACTAGATTAACTTGAAAAATGATTTGTGGAAACATTGCTCAGTTTCAATATCATTAAGTCATTTCTTTCTCTGTTTAACCCTTTCCAGATGGTCACAGTTCAAAGTCCATGTCATCGCATTTGTTGACTTGTATTCAAAATTTTATTGAAATACTATTTCATGAATTTATGGCAATAAGTTTAGTATCAAACTGTAGATTATAATTC